GATTTCATCTCRCCCATCCGTCTGTGGGCCTACTCTGTGCTGGGGCAGGGATACCGTGGGAAGGAGATTTCATTGAGTGACTCCTCTTGGTGCTGCCAGATTCGTCTGTTGGAATCAGGCAATGGGACAGTGTGGTCCCGCAGAGGGTGTCTGAGCTTTTCAGCACAAACAGGAACACTCCTGACCACCCCACCTTCCCTCCCCGTTCTGAGGACCCCGCTGGGTGAGTGGAAGGAAAACACCCCCAAGTCCTAGGTCCTGGCAGGTCACGCAGGGGGTGCCTCTTGGATTTGATTTTCCCTGCGTTTCCTCCAAAATGTGAAAGCAGAGGGGCATTCCTGACTTCTAGGAAATGGAATGCGCACGTGCCGGGCTCAGGGGGACTCAGCCTCCTTCTCAAAGAAGAAAAGTCTCGGAGGGAGGACAAGACAGTCCTTGGAGTCGCTACCAGAGACCACATCACCCAGATGCAGGAGAGTCCCCGAAGAGGGTACCCTTGCCCACCAGTCAGACGCTCCGACGGGCCCAGACCTAGAGGAAACCAAAGCCCCACCTGGCTCTTCATCCAGCGGGGGTCTTCCCAGACTCTCCTGTCCATTCCCCAGGGGACAGGGACAGACATCATCCAGGCTGGGCAGTGAAATCGGCCCTCGGTGCCCATGGGCAGAGGAGACCCTCCCTGGGGGAACTCAAAGATGCCAGCGAGTGGGGCTCAAACGGCTGTGCCCCGAGTCCTCCACAAGCCTTGGAGCAAATCATCTTTTAATTCTGAAACACCAAATATTTAATTTATGCTCTACCTCAAATGTCAAGTCCACCTCCCGGCACATAGCTTTGAAACCACGTAAGGAGGACTAACACTTTCCATATGGTGAGGACTTGGGACCTTTTAATTGTGCCAACTGGTATCATTCAAGGGTAATTCCCCTGGAATCCAGCATTCGGGCAGCAGCTGGGCCAGCCTCCAATCTCATCACCCAGCCCCACACGTCCCCCGGGGCTCCAACCAGGCCCCTGCACCCTCCTAATCTTCCCCAAATATCAAAATGCACTAGGTACCCCCTAATCAAATTACCCAACTGCCTGGCAGCCGCCTTTGATCTAGAGGAGGGCCCGCCTGCCCCGCAGCTCACGGCCTATTTCTCCAGGCAGCTCTGCTATAAAAGAACAAAAGGGTCAAGCTGGTGGGGGGGTGTGTGTTTTAAATCTGGCTGTGCACATTCACATATGCACGTGTGTACACGCCACGTGAGCAGCAGAGAGGCACCAAAGTTGTTTCTCCAAGTTGGCCTCCTACCTGCGTCCGCCCTGCTAGTCCATCCACCTGTGCAGCTCTGCTGTCCCCCCACTKCGGGTCCCACACCCAGGGTTTCTGATGGGTTTCTTCTGTAACTGCCTGCTGCTACTTCGTGTTCCAAAGCACTCCGCGACCTCCTGGAGATGATTCTACTTCTTCTGCTTTCTCATTCTGCTCAGCCCAGGGTCYTCTGGCAGGCACCTGGCTCGGTCTATTGTTCTTCTTTCAGAGCATTTACATGCCTCCCATTTCTCACTATGTGTCTCCTGTGAGCTCATATTCCCTTGGACTTCATCATGTGCCCATGCAAAGGGCAGAACCTAGGCCTTAATCTGTTTCCCCGCAACGGAGCCTGTTGTGGAAGAACAGGAAAGCGGGGAACAGAACTCTGGTTCCAGAATCCCTATCTGTGGGCTCCCATCTCCCCTCTGCAGATACCTCAGCATTCCACAGAATTCCCAGATTCGACTCTTTTGAAGGAGTTATCTGCCCTGACTCTGCCARGGATGAGAATATCACTGCACCCATTTTGCAGATGAGCTAATTAAGGTATCCAAAGGCAAAATGGCTTGCACAAGGTGACAAGCTCTTGTGGCACAGTGGGGCCTCGTTATTTCTGGACTTAGGAAGGAAGGCGAAGTTTAGTGCCAAAACGGTCACCCCCTCACACAGCAGGGCCCTGTAGGTAACTCAGACCCTCCCCAAACATTGGCCAAGCTCCTCAGACCCCATCAGGGAGGAGGAAGCAGGACGAGGGCCCCTTCTGCTTCTGCCAGCCCCTCCACCAGCTCGGCTCAGCTCACCGTGCTTGGCAGCTGGYGGGCGAGCCCCCTTCCGAGGAATGAGTCAAACGAGCGCCCTGGCAGTGGACGCTCTGTACGGGGCTTCCCCACCCATGACTTCCTTTCTCCTAGAAAGTACAGCAGAAGAGAGGGCACACCAGCTGGCTGGGAGCTCCAGAGGGTTACGGGAGATTAAGATAATGTAAGCAAAGCTTGACACACACACAGGCACTTAATAAATAGTAGCTATCATTGCACTAATAAGAATGCTAGTTGGATAAGCCACTCATGTGTCCCCAGCCACTTTGGTGACATGCCAGCTGAAGGAGTGCAGACAGAAGTCATCCCCAAGACAGACCTGGGGCAGGCTGAGGACCGCTGCCAGGCCTGGAAGCCAGCAGACTTTGGAGCACACACCCTCCTACATCCTGGTGATATCACAGAGGAACCTGCCAGCCACCCCTTCCGCGCTGGTGGGGACAGAGAAATGAAGCAGGACTGAGGTGCCCCCGGGTGCCCGGTGCAGAATCTCAGCATTCCCCAAACTTTGGGCATCCCATCCTCACATTCATAATTTTGACCACTTGCACTCAGTATTTCTCTCTGAATCAACTTGAAGTGAGACTATCGCATTTAACTTGGCTTCATCCTAAGCAGTAATAATACCCTGTGATATCATGGTTCCATGACCTAGCTATCTTTTCTGATTTAAAAAAAAATAAGGGGGGAGTAACTATTAAGACTAAAAACATTCCCTCAGGTGCCACCTGAAATTATGTCAGACACCTCACACACACACACACACACACACATACACACACACACACACACACACACACACACACACACACACACGGCTGCTCCACACCTTGGACGGTGCCCTGATTCAGAAGCTGGGCCATCTTGGACCAAGGCAGGTGAGAACCCAGAAATCCAAATCCCAGTCACTAAGAACAACTCCCAGGGAGTCAGCGCCCACCCCCCCTTAACATCTCCAGCGGCTGAGCCCACCCGCCACATGTCCCACTGATGGCTCTATGCCTCACATCTTTAAAAGCACTTTGAACCAATATTAATGACCCCACAGCATTTCTCTGAGAGAGGGGGCGAGGGACGAAGGGAGGGGAGCAGGCAGCATCCCATACTGTCCTCAGCTGGGGGGAAGAAACCAGGCAACAAAATTCCGTGACTTCACCAAAGCCGCAAACTTAAGCTGGGGCCCCCTCCCGGCCCTCCCTCATTTCCCCCAATGGCAACTTCACTGGCTTGCATTCCTCTTGCTGGGAACACTACTATTTAATTAAAAACGACAGACTTTTGTTTTCCTCTCCTTCTTTCCTCCTCCCTCTCATCCTCCCGGACTGGATGCCAAGGAGACCCACCAAAAACATGCGGGTAACATTTGTTATGGCTTTGAAGATAAAAGTCAATTGAAGTAAGCCCTCGCTGTATTTCAAGTTTCCCCTCTAGCATGGAGCAAGAGCTGCCTGGCAGTTAAGAAGGGGAAAAAAAAAAAAAAAGGACTGCAAATAAATGTCATTCTGCAGGAATAGTTTGTAAAAATAAACAGGCTGAAAAAAAAAAAACCCAAAACTTGATTAATGGAAATCCACTCAGTTGGCCTCTGTCTTAGGCTGCAAATACATTTGTTCATATGGCTCAACTGGATCGTTTTCATTGGCCTTTAAATTTAAAAAGTAGATCAAACGCTAGAAATGGTGGGAGAAAAAGCAGTTTGTAGTTGTGTTGTTCAAGGGCCCAACTGCAGTGCCCCCCACCCACCAAGTTTTGACCTCTGCTAGGGGCTGGCAGCTCCAATTCCAACCCAGTCAACAGATGAGGAGAAACGGAGGAGAGAAAGCCCTCAGCTAAGCAGCAGGGAGGGGGGGAGAACTCTTCTACCCGCAGAGGCTACTTCACACATGCACAGGCCCCCGCCCAACATCAGCCCCTGCAATCTAACTGCCAGGTCCTACCACCCAAATGCACACACACACACACACACACACACACACATCTGAAGACTCCACCAGCCTCTCCCCAGCCATGGGCAAGACCAAAGAACTAACCAGACCCGAGACTCAGTCTGTTCCCCTCCAAGTTTAAAAAAAAAAAAATTAAATGTCACATCAAAAAGTTGATTCATCCTTTGATCCTCTGCTTGCGAGAGTTCCACGCAGACCATCTGAAAGCCCCGTGCAGAGTTCTGGAGCTCACACGACATCTGTGAACACCAGTCCCAGGCCAGGAGCTGTGGCTGCACTCACTCATTCCCCTGTCACAATCACTGCTCCTCCAGGAACAACTCCAACCTCCTGGACCCACCGGCTGCAGGCACGGGGGCGTGCCAGGCTACAGCACAGTGAGTGAGGCCTTTCCCGCCCTGTGAGCCTCACTAAGGGTGACGCTGGGTCCCAGTGGCCCCCAAGCTCTCCACTCAGATGGCAGATGGCACTAATGAATGCCACAGACACTAAGACACATTCGGAAGTGGCCATAAGACCCTGGGCCAGCACAGCCCTGCCCTCCAGCCAGACAGTCCCCATGCCTCCCCTCCCCCAGCCCCACTTGCAACACCCCTGTGAATGCTGGTCACAGAAACAAGGTAGAAGTCAAAGCAGGCCCCCGAACCCCACTAGCACAGACCAGCTTTCCCATCCACTAGACCTATACCACCTCCTCACCCGGGACCTGCCTCCTGGCAGCCCTCTGCCCCCCAACTGGGCAGGAGACTGACCCATCAGACCTCTCAGGTTCCCCATAGCGTGGGGCACAGGGCTGTGCTGCTGGGGCAGGGGACCGAAGAGACAGGATTTTCAGACCTGGACACCGGGCCAGGAGGGTGCTAAAAGTGGGGATGGGTGAAGACCCATCTCTGAGGCTGAAAGGGGTGAGGGGAGAGGACAGGGTGGGGACCGTACCCGGGTGCCTCGACCAACGGTGCCCGCCAACCGCAGCTGTCGGGGTCCTGAGACACCACCTGGGCAGCGCTGCCTCCCGATCCACTCCTCGATGCCCTTCCGAGCCCAGGCAGCGCTCACGGCGAAGCTGTCACCTGGGACAGGGATGACACGAAGCCTCTGAGTCTGGGCCCCCCACCGGCCGGAAAGTTCCCYGAGAGTAGGAGAAGGAGTGGGCGCGGCAGAGAGTAAAGGCACCGAGGGGTCCGCTGGGGGTTCAAGAGCTTGGGCAAGATMCAAGAGACACGCAGGGAATCAGGAGAACCAGGTTCAGCAAAACCCCAAGAGCAAGGATCCAATCCGGGGCAAGGAAAGGCAGAACCCGGGGAAGAGGGGGTTGGGGATCAGGAGGCCAGGACAGCAGTGGGCTGAGGGTCAGGAGAGGGGGAGCAGTGGACGCAGAAGCCAAGAAAGGGGCTGGGGGCCAGAAAGAGGGCGACGGGATCCTGGGCTAGAGCACTTGGGGGGTCTGAAGAAGGGGCGCTGTGAGCCCAGAGGGCGGGGACGCAGGAGGGGTGGGGCTTTAGGGTCAGAAGTCGGAGAGCAGGACCACAGGGAGGGAGTAGGCGGGACAGAGGCGGGGGCCCGAAGATGGCTCTAGGAGCGGTTTGGGGGGACTGGTCGCTGGCGTTGGGGGTTGGGGTGGCCCTGGTAATGAAATCCAGCGGGCTGGGCCGTCTGGCAGCCGTCCGCGGTGCTTCCCCCTTCCATCCCCCGGGTCGGTGCCCCGCGCGCCCCTACCTTCCGGGCTCTCCCTGCGCTTGCACACGGCGGCTGCAGGCACAACGCGCGCGGCGGCGGCGGCGGCGGCGGCGGCGGCGGCGGCGGCGGCGGCGGCGGCGGCGGGAGCCGGAAAGAAAGGAGAGGGAGAGAGTTAGCGACCGCGGTGGGGAGGACGCCGGGGCCAGGGGGCCGGCGCGCGGGCGGGGACACTGACCCGGCTTGGAGTGAAGTTTCCCCATGCTGGGGGCGCGGCAGGCGGGGGCGTCCCTAAGCCATGCGCGCGGCCCGCGGGCCCTGCGCCTCGCCTGGCTCCCCTGCTCCCGGAGCAGCCCCAGAGCCGATCGCAGCCCGAGGCGGMGCCGGGACGCGCTCCTGCCGCCGTCGCCGCGGCCCGACTGACGCCCGGGCGCGCCGAGCCCCCAGCCCGCCGCCGCGGCCCCGCGCCTCCCCGCGCGCCCATTGGCCAGGCGCGGCGCATCAAAGGCGAGGCGGGCCGCGGCGGGGGCGGGGCCTGCGGGCCGGGGGCGGGGCGCGGCGCGGGCGGGAGGGGCCCAGCGAGCCCTGGTGGCCCCGGCGATCTTCAGCCGGGGTCTCAGGGGCTGGGGACCCGTGCGGAGACTGTGATCCGGAGGCGTTTGGGGACCGACACCCTTTTGGGGTGCTGCCCTCAGTAGAACATTCTCTCCCCCCGCTAACGGGACCGTGTCTTTCCTCCTCTCGGTATTTCCTCGAAGCGATCAGGGAGGGGGCTCCGATTTGCAGGTGGGGAAACTGAGGTCAGGCGTGGAGACCTCCGCTGCTCTGGTGCCAGCGTCCCCTGCGCTCCCGCTGCGCGGCCTCTTCCCACCATCTGCCTTCTGTGGCCGACGTGAGTGCGCTTCCCTCCCAAGTCCCTCCTCCGACTCCGGAGTTGTTTCAGTCGGGAGTCTAGGAGAAGCCCCCACTGCGCCCTAAGGTGGGTATCCAGCTGACGCTTAGCGGCGACAAGTGTACAGAAGCCCCGAGTTGTCAGCCAGCCCCTCGAATCTCCTGGTCCAGGGCCCGTGGGTGCCCGCCGGGGTTCGGGGCGCGCTGCCAAGCTACGCCGCCCGGAAGGGGGTAAACCGCTGGGTCTTTGATCTTTCCTGGTTTCCGCTCCCCGCTGCAGTTCGTCAGACCCAAAGGCTGATTTGTTTTGTCTGGGGAGGTCTCTGCGGAGGTGAGGGCGACATCAAGGGGTTCCACCCCACCTTTGTGGCTCTCAGAACGCCGTGGATCTGTGTTAAGCTCGCCCTGATGTCAGGCAACCTGGGCGTGGGAAAAGACTCCTCCAACCCGGTCCTGCCTGAGTTCTCTGTGAGAGCCTCAGTTTTATGGTCTGTAAAATGGAGACTCAATTCCGCTCTTTCGCCTCCATCCCACAGAAATGGAATGTGCACGTGGGTACTTTCCAATTTCCTAGCAGTCACATTTTTTAAAAGTTAAAAGACACAGATGAAATTAATGTTTTATATGACCCAATATAACCGAAATATAATTTCAACATAATAAGACATTTCATTCTTAATTTTGCACTATCTTTAAAATTCAGTGTTTAGGTGACACTCAAAACACAGCTCAACCCAGACTGGCCACGTGGCAGGTGATCCTTGGCGTGTGGGGAGTGGCTACTGCCTTGGGCAGCACAGCTGTGAGCATGTGTGTCCCAAAAGAACATTGGGAACTTCATGCCCTCCAGAGTTGTGAACCTCTTCAAACAGCAATATTGTCTTCCTTTTATGCACACCGTTGGCACAAAATGAAGCCTTATCTTATAAGCAAGGACATGGATGCTGTTGGCAGAGTGCTTTCATTGGAGGAGTGCTGGGATGACCCAAACGTTCCTATTGTCATGTATTGCAGTTCTTCATCCTGTACTTCTTACATGCCACTTTCCTATGCCACATAGAGCACAGTCACTCTGATACAGACTTATAGAAAGGAGGGAGACTAATAGGCTCAGAGGTGTGATGATACTTGCCCAAGGTCACACAGCTAATCAGTGTCCCAGTTAGGAACTCAACCCAAGTCTTTTGATTCCATTAATCATGCTCATTTCACTCTATCAGGATGTCCCAACCACATTTCAAACCTAGTGGCCCACCATTAGAGAGAGAGTCCTCCATCTGGAAAGAAATATTAAGCACCAGCTAGCTCTGCGGCACGCATGGGTTTAGGCACTTCAAAGACATATTAGTGAATAAAATGGACAATTGCCCTCCCACGGAGCTCACCCTCTGCTGGGTGGAAGGGAGGTCGTCAATGGGTCCCTAGTGAGGTGAGTTGGAAGGCGGTTTGCCCCACCCCACCCCCACTGGGGCATTTGTCCATGTGCRTGGGCATCTGGTGGGTAGAGGGCCAGGGTGGCTGCTGAACATCCCAGAGTGCCCAGCACAACCCCACCCCAAGGACTCGTCTGTTCCCAGATGTCAGAAGTGGGCAATCGAGAACCCAGGAGCCGCAGGGAAATGGAGGAACAGAGGTCAATAAGACAGTAGGCCGGGCAGGGGCTTGGGGGTACCGGCGGAGAGTGGGCGCTTCCCGCAGACGCCCTCTGAAGGAAAGGAGTTCACTTGGGGTGGCTGTCTCCTGCAGCCCCACCCCCACGGGTACTGGGGCGCCTGGGAATCAAAGCAAAGCTCTGAGCACCGTCTCACCGCACTCAGAAAGTTGGTTACTTCCTTAAACCCGTCATGGCTTTCTTCTTTCATGAGAAAACAGTATCCCCTCTTCCCCCTGGGAATGTCTTTCCACAGTTCAAAAAGAGATAAAAGCGAGAACTAAAACTGCAGTTACCAGCCTGAGTCTTAGGGGAAGTGGATCCCAAATGTCCAGCCCAGACAGAGAGGCCCCTCCACCTGGGGTCTGGCTTCCCAGCCCAGCAGACACCGGGGACTTGGCTGTTGGAACTGTGACACCCCCTAGGCCTGGCCCTGGGGTGACAAAGCCAGCGTCCAGGTACTGTGCAGCCTGTGCAGGACTCGGAGGAGGGACTCCCCCCAGGCCCTCAGCTCACCGTCCAACTGGGGTGGCTATTGGTCCTCTAGGGCCTCCCGCCCCCCGCCACTCACTCTTTTTATGTGTTTTAATAATTTATCTGGCCCATTTCTTGGGCGGGAGACTTACAGTGACACATCTTTTTCTTTGAAGATTTCCCATCCTTTGGGGGAGGAGAATGGGAGAGGAAGCCAGGAAGAGATAAGAGAGAGAGATTATAACAAATGGCTGCGTGGGGCTGGAGACGGAGGCCAGCTTAGGTGAGAGCTGTCAGATATAGAGTGGGAGGGGTTTTTTTTGGGGGGGGCTGTTTTGTTTTGTTTCAAAACCACATCACCCTGGTTGGACGCTTCCACCCCATGCCCAGCCACCAGGTCAGGCTCCTTCAGACACGGCTTCCTAAGGGAAGTGCTCCTTCCCGGCTCTGGACAGCTGAGCTCTCCTGTCCAGCACCTATTGGCCTCCTCTTTCCAAAATGAGGAGGCCAGGCCTTCCTCCAGGAGACCTGCTTGAGGCAAGGGGCTTGCGTGACTAGCGTCGCTGGCTGCAGGGCCCAACCCATGGTGGGTTCTCTATTGGGAAGGAGAGGAACCTGCTGTGACCGCCTCAGCCCCAAGGTGTCAGTAAGACAGTAGGAGAGCGGCCAAGGAAGGCAATGGGCGTGGGCATCGGGTGGGTAGAGGCCAGGAGGATGCTGAGCATCCAGACCCAAATCTGTTCCTGGAAAAAAAAAAAAAACAAATTCCCCAACCTGAGTTGGTTGCTCCCAGTCCCTGGAGGTGCCCCATTTCGTGGTTTTCTGGGAGCCTGGGCATCGTTAAGGGGCCTGGGAGCCTGCTTGGGGTGAGGAGAAGAAAGTTAAATGGCTCTGCGTGACGGAGGTTGCGGGGATTTGGGGGACGGCAGCCAGGGAAGGGAAGAGGGAGTTCTCAAGGCCCCCAGGAGTGTGGGGAGCGAGTGACAGACCAGGGCCCCGAGAAGGGGTGCGTCCCGGGAGGTGGGGAGAGCCCAGGCACCCGCAGGGCGGCAGGGTCTCTCGTGCCTTGGCTCAGCTCTGTGCAGTAATCTGCCCCCGTGACTCCACCCCCAGCAAAGTCCTGACCACGTCCCCGGCTTTAGTGGCACAGGACAGAATGAAGAAATCAGAAAGATGGCCCCACGCAGGCCATTGACGGAGGCTAGGGCCACAAGCCATCTGCAGAGGGCCGCTGGTCATGAGAGGAAGGGTGGGTGCAGGAGGCAGCCGGTGACGCTGGCCGCATCCGTTCTTGGAGATGGGGGCGAGGAGGTTGGACTTCCCCAGGCAAGGCGCCCGGGATCCCCAAGCCGTGCCATTGGAGCATTCCAGGCRGGGGGTGGGGGTGCAGGGGGCAGAAGAGAGCCGCTCGCCTTCCTCCAGATGTTGGTGGAGTGGGACTGGATATTGGTGGCACCAGCCTTCCCCCCCGGGGAGACCACTGTAACAGGCTCAGAGCTCAGGCTTCCTGGGCTCAGCGAGGAGACCCTTCCAGCCGTGGTACCCATCTTTGTCTATTTCCAGACTTGTTTTACAAAGAGAAAATTAAAAACTATCTTTTTAAGCCTTGATTTTCCAGTTATGTGCACCTGACCTCAGCCTGATCGTCACACCTATGTCGCCGTCCAGATATCAAGGGAAGGGCCCGGCAGGTCGGCATTTCCCGGTGCCGTGATGTGAAAGAGGCGCTGGGCAGCCCTGGCTGGGCCAAAGGGAGCCACGCTCTTCTCCTGAAGGCCTGTCAGGGCCTTCGGTGACCCACCAAGCATCCTAGCAGGGTCTCTTGAACTCACCACACGAGGAGACCCTCTGGGGAAGTTCCAGTGATGACAGTGTTTCGTGGAATGGCTTTAGAATGGGCTGGACCCGGTGGCTTACTTCTAAGATTCCTTCCAAGGGCGAGTCCAGGAGCTGGACCGAGAGCCCAGAAGGAAGGAGAGCAGGGAGGACAGCAGCC